GACCTCATCCTAGACTTGTTCCCAGGCCAGGCGCTCAGCCCCTTCCTGGGGCCCAGGCCCCAAGCTGCTCCTCCCAGACTCACCCCTGAGCACCCAGCTGCTCTCCCCAGAGGCCTGTGCCCCTTTCCCCAGCCCGGCTCCGGCTCCGGCTCCGCTCGCAGGCGGCTGGGCCAGTGAACTGTTCTCCACCCCCATGTCCCTGACCAGGCACCAATGCAGAGGGAGGGGCCTGGAGAGAGAACGCCCACCCTCCCGCTCTCCCCCCTCGCCCAATACCCAGAGGACCAGACAGACACCAAGATCAGTAACGGCGTGTAATGACACGTGTGCCTGGGAACCCACACTCACGGGGTCAGAGAGGTCAGATCAGTGAGGTCCGGAGGGCTGTCGAGCCAAGGATGGGGCCAGGCTCCGGGGTGTCCACGGCGTCACTGCAGGGTGGTGATTGTCCAGGGACCAGCATCCGCCCTGCTCTCCAGCTGGGACGTAGAGCTGATGACCCGATGGCGGACGAGGCCCCACTCTAAGTTCTTTCGAGGAGGCAGTCTGCCTTCAGCTCCCAGCAGCCACCTGCCCCGGGGCGCATCCAGGGGAGCCTGTTCCGAGCCCACACCTGACCCTCCGTGGCCACCTGCGCACAGGCCGGCTGCCGGACTGCCCACAGGGCTGCCCCGGCGCCCGCGCATCTCAGCTCCCAGGCGGGCATGCCTGAGGAGCTGGGGTGCGACTCCTTGGCCTCCCACAGACCCGCAGGCCCGGTCTCGGGCAGCCTGGGGCCTCCGTGTGACCCTGTAACTCGAAGCTAAAGCCACCGTTGGCAGCGGGACCACCTCTGCTCTGCTGGCCACAAGCTGCAGGGAGGAGGGAGGTGCGGGTGGGGCCAGCGAGGGGTGGGCTGGAGAGCGTGCCAGGTGGTCTCCGCTGGCTCAGGTGGGCAGGAGGCAACCAGGCCCGCCTGGGACTCTCCGAACCTGGGGATCCGTCCCCTGGTCTGTCCTTTAAAAGAGGAAGAAAAGGCCCGGCCGGCGTGGCTCCGTGGTTGAGTGTTGGCCTCTGCACCAGGAGGTCACGGTCAGGGCACACGCCCGGGGCTGCAGGCTCGTCTCCAGTGTGGGGTGTACAGGAGGCAGCCGATCAGTGATTCTCTCATATCACTGATGTTTCTATCTCTCTCTTCCTGCCTCTCTGAAATCAATAAAAATATTTTTAAAAAGAGGAAGAAAAGGCAGTTGTTGCAGAACCTCAGACGTGTGAGGGTCTGTGGTCAGAAATCTCAGTCAGGAAGTTGGGTCCCTGCCTGTGGCTCTGACCCTGGGGCCAGCTCCTGGGTCAGCTCCGGCCGGCGGACTGTGAGCTTGGGTTGGTGACACCCTGGCCCCTCCCACCTCAGGGGCCAGGTGGCTGGTCACCTGCTCCAGGAAGTCCCC